TAGTTACACTGACTTTAGCGGTGGCTCCAGCGTTAGTGTCTCCAGCATTAGTGTCTAGCAGCTAGCTTAGGTACGTTGGGCGTTTTGATTTTGATCGACGTTAATTATTCATTCATTTTCCGAACAGCTTTATCCACACTAGGGTCGCAGTGGGTGCTGGAGCCTATCCCAGCCGTCTTCGGGCAGTAGGCGGGGGATACCCTGAATCGGTTGCCAGCCAATCGCAGGGCACACAGAGATGAACAACCATCCAACCCCACACGCACGCCTAGGGACAATTTAGAGTGTCCAATCAGCCTGCCATGCATGTTTTTGGAACGTGGGAGGAAACCGGAATACCCGAAGAAAACCCACGCAGGCATGCAAACTCCACACAGGGGGGCCGGAGCTGGAATTGAACCCGGTACCTCTGCACTGTGAAGTCGACATGCTAACCACTGGTCTACCGGGCCGCCACAAATGACGATTGTTATGGGAAAAGAGCATATTTGTTATCCTGGATTTAAAAGCATTTGCGCTATATTCATATTACTCACTATGATAACACTGGTCAACATTCATTTTGGTGCCCCAAAATTTATAACAGCCTTAGGGTGTTTTGATGTCACTGCATCTGGAAATGGCATTGCTTTTTCCGAATTTGCTCTCGTTTTTTAGATAGTCGATGTTTTTGTTTAACAAAAGTGCAAAACATATGCACATTTTGACAATGGCATTCTCATTATGCTACAACTTTGACGCTGTATCTGTCTTTCAATACCTGTCCATCCAGTATTCTTTCATTTTTGATGCAATGTCGTGAAAGCGGTCAATCAACATCACAGAGAGCCTTGTATATGTTAATCATGTTTCATGTGAAATTCAAGCAAAACAAATCCAACTATTTGGCAATCTCACCAGTAAACAACAAGCTTATTTCACTTGTATTAGAGAATAAATGATCAGCATTTTTGATATCCCCATATGAATTATGGATCAGTTAATTATCAAAATAGAAAATTCTACTACAGCCACTGTGAATGTACTTAAGATGGTAGTCTCACAACAAGCAGCCCCGCATACTACCCAGCACTGCTAAAAAGTACTTCCATTGAGATCCAGAAGTTCTCCAGGTCCCACATGAGCACAACTCCAGTCTGTAGATAAATCCGAAACGGGTTCTTAATTCAATAATATTCTCAGATCACTGTTTTCACGGCAGAAGATGGATGTTAACTACTCTTCAAGGATAAAAGATGACCGTTTTCAGGCCTCACACTCTGGCTTTCACTCTCTGGTGTTGCAGTGAGGTCAGGGTTAGTATGCGTCACACAATTGTGTGCTAAAACAGGCATACTGTCACCATACAGTAGCTTGTGCCTGTGATAAATAACCTGAGAGAAAGGAAAGTAGCATATCAAAATCCAAGACACAACCCATGAGATACTGGTCAACATATTCAATGCTAGCTGTGGTTTAGGGTGGGCCCATGAGTGGCTGGGCATCACAAGAGTGAATCAATAGGCAGAAAAAAATGAAACTGAATAATGTACTCAATCTATGAATGTTAATATTTTCAAACTCTTCCACTCCTGACGTGTTCAAGGACCCATGTATTATGTCCTTGATCAATGAGTCATTACACACACGTACACAGGCTCAGTTGAGCAGTAGATCAGCACGGCAGAGGCTCTGAAAAGTCAAGGTTGGCTTTTTTTTTTAAATTATGACAGTACTTCCATTTTTTGCTTACCGGTAGTTTTGTTTTTGCAAGAATGTCTCTTCCTATATATACACGGTACATAATTCTAAGCAAAACAAGATATTGTTTCCCAATTTTAGGACCTGTGAGGCAGGTGCATACAAGCACAGTTATAGTTTATTACAGGTCATATACACATCTATAGCTGATACAGATGACTAAAATAATCACTTCCTCTGAGGACACCCGCCCTCGGCTTAGATGTGCCAGATGAAAAGACATAATGGACTACTGATGGCTCCTTAATATATCAGTTGCTATGCAGTTGCTGTTGTCCTATTATGATTTGGTCCTTTAGTAGATAAGCAGGAAGTGGTGATTTGTCACTCTGTCAAGCTTTCTTTGAGTCAGAATGTCAACTTTCTTTCATGTCTTCTGCATTTAGCTTTTCTCTTCAGCAACTGTTGCAAATGTTGTACTTTTCAAGTATTTAAATCGTCATTAACTCAATGAATCCCACATTTTTTAAAAAAGGAACTTAAACTTAGAGTAATCTATTACTTGACAAAGATGGTAATATTGTAAAAAAAAAACAAAAAAAACAAACAAACAACCCCCCCCCCCCAAAAAAAAACATTACCGTACTTTCAATTGCAAGTAACTAGTAATATTATATATATTACATTTTGGAAGCAACTTGCCCAACACCATTCATGTTGACATGATGCTTTATGTTACGTCAGTGGTTCTTAACCCGGGTTCGATCGAAACCGAGGGGTTCGGTGAATCGGTCTCAGGGGTTCGATGGAGCCTCTGCCATGGAGAGTAAGACACACCCGACTCAACATGTCAATTAGTTATGACACGCCCGCTTGGCCATCAGTGGCTGCAGATGATCACATTACATTGCTTGTCCAATCAGTGCGGTGGGAAATTTAGTTCGCTTAGTAGTCAATGTGTGACTGTCGTGATACTATGTTGAAAAAAAAAAAAAAGTATACTTATCTCTTGAAATGTTATTTACTTTTTTTTCTGTTTTTAAGAAATGGAGTGTTTTTTTTAGATCTTGAATTTGTAAAAAAATATAAATATAAAAAGATAAATATATTTATTTTTCACGAATGAAGGGTTCGGTGAATGTGCATATTAACTGGTTGGGTTCGGTACCTCTAAGAAGGTTAAGAACCACTGTGTTACGTTATGTTTAGGTGAAATTAAAATAAAGTCAAATTTGATCAACCCCATTACTTTTCACGAATCCGATCATGAGTGGGCTACCCCGCACCCACCACCCGCACCCCACAATCCTCGTGCTTGTTTGGAGTGACTTGTAAATACGTATTCAGTGTTGATGTGATGATTATGTATTATGCAGAATGCAAAAACAGTCTAGAACCATCAAGACTTTTTAGTTTCTTGATGTGGCCAAATGCATTTGACAAATTATTTCAAAATCATTACAGACGTGTATTGCATTGTAAACATGAGCCAGCATGAATCAGTCATTTCAGTATCAATCAAAATCAGTATCTGCCCAAAATAAAACGGACTGATCAAAATATTTATATTTAAACTAACATGATCGAGGAGTGATAGTCCTGGTCCATTTACTATATATCTAGCACAGACTTTTGTACAATACGTCACAGTCAAGGTGCCAAAAGACTTCTGCAAAAAATCGATCAGTGACTACTCGATTTTAGCTAGTCTGTGGAACCTCCTCAATGCTCGATCCTCATGTGTCGATGTGCATTTAAGACAACTGAGATACTGTACCCTGGGAAGACTCCATGGATGAAGAATATGAACAAAAAAATCTGCACTATGCTGAGCTAGCTGCTAAAGAACAACATGATGGTTGAAATACAGAAACTGATGTCGAAATTGTGGACGGCCTGTTCCCAAAACAACTGCTATCTGGATTTTCCCCTGGACGAAGAAAATTTGATCGGAGGCAAGCATTCCTACTTGCCTTTTACCCCTCCTTCCAGAGCCCGAGACTGATAAGCCACAGGTGCTCGACATGCAAACATAACATATGAAACATATGAAACGACAATAACACATTCCCCGCAATAGCAATGTTGTCGTTGGATTCCTATTCGCTTTGGCCCCACGTGTTCCAACTGGATTGGCTTTAACAGAAGTGATGCTTCCTCGTGTAACGTTCATTGTGAGCAGACGTGTTTGTTGTGATTTACGAACCTCTATTTGTTTGTTTTTTTTGTTATTTCGGTATTGTGTATTAGCCCTTAATCATGGGGAAATAAAATAGTTTTGGATTTTGAACAAATAGCTTTTCTAACAACCTTCTGGAACGGATTATGGTTGAAAACCGAGGTATGACTGTACTTGTCTTTTAAATGTAAGATACCTGTGCTAAGGTTTTTTTTCTCTTACTCAAACAATGCTCCCACTTAAGGAGAATGTTTGGAGTCTGTTGTTTTTTTACCCCCTCTTATTCCCCATTGTTTTCTTTTCACATCTAAGATATCGGGGCATTTAACAGTGGACTGCCAGGCTTCCGCTCTATCTCCCCCTTTTGGTTCATTGTTTTTTTTTTGTTTGTTTGTTTGTTTCCTACATACTTGGCCAATAAATTGATTCATATTGCAAAGTCTTGTGAACCTAAAATACATTTTCTACTTTTGCACCTTTCTCAAATGCATACTACATGTATCATGCCAGCAATATACGGTACATGAGAGGTTGTAGGCATTGATACTATGAGCCCAGAAATCCAGACTAATTGTAAATATTGAAATATACAGAATAACAATACAATTCAATGGAACACATATCATAATTTAGGTTGTAAATGAAGGTAGGTGCTTCTGATAGTGCTTCTGATTTTGCTGACCCCATTGAAGACACATATCTTATATAACAGGAAAAAGCATCCACAAATGTTAGTATGTGATGCACGTGATGAGGAGAGCTGTTAAGTTAGTCATTTTATTACATCCACAGCTACAATGTTTTGACATGATGTAATAGGTCAAGTGGAAATGTCCTATAGCAGTGGAAGCTGAAAGATGGTGCATTGCCACCTAGTGTTGTGGAGCATTGCAGACTGTGTGTGTGTGTGTGTGTGGGGGGGGGGGGGCAGAATTTAGTGGAGGGAATCCTGAAGAAATGGAGATGTCTTATGTGTGCATTTTTAATTTACTTGTAGATTTAACTAAATCCAAGCAAAGCCAAACTCCACATTCTGGAGTGACTTACTCCTCTCTCTTTCCGAAAATTAACAGTGAAACACTCTTTGCGTCATTTTCATTACAAAGTGGATCTCAGAGTGTGTGTCAGAGTGAGTTCTTACCTGCCAAGTCAATTACAATCCAGTGGGATTCCGGTCATTGTCATTTAAACCCCCATTCCAACATAATACCAGCCCTGAAAATGCAAGGGACAAAATAAAATGATTACTACTTCAATGTACTCTCCTGTGAAACACAACATGAATAATGTGGTGTGATTGCAAGCTTGCTGGGATAAAAATAAATAAATAAATAAATTGATCTCTTCACCCGTCTTTAAATAATCACACACACATGCACGCGCACACACACACACACACACACAC